ATTAATAGAAATTAAGTGGAACAGAACAGCTTTAGATTAGGTATATGTACTTGTTATAGTAAGGCATAAAAAAAATACCTGTGGTTCCGGTTTCATATCGTGAAAAAATTAGCGTCGGTAGGTCGGAAATAAATTTTTTTTTTGAATATTTTTTTTCATGGTTTTGGCGTTTTTTTGCTAGGCGATTTGCAGTAGAGTCCCAACATCAAAATTAACTAGAGATGCGTATTTCCTATGGACAAATTTAGGCAATTTGGTTCAATAATTAGTGTGACAACACTCCATTTTGGCACGCTGTGTATGAGCAGCCCGCAACCACCTGGAGAAAATAGGGTCGCACAGTGAGTCAATCGTGTTGAAAAAATAATAGGGTCGGCAGAAAAAATAGGGTCGGTTGGGAACCGGAACCACAGGTATTTTTTTTACCCCTAACTATATTTAGCGAGCAATTGTATGATATATGAATAAATGTCAAGTTTTGGCCGACGCTGCAGCAGCTCCCAGTGGTGTGTGAGATAGGGGTGCACCGGAACCAGTTTTTTAAATTCCGGCCAGAACCGGATCCAACCGGAACTGGAAAAAAGTTCCGGCCGGAACCGGAACTAATATATTAAGCCATATATAGTCATATGTTTGCTGCCAGACAGGAAGACACTTCAAGTCATCAAGAGAGAGCTCGCAAATGTTAGAATAAAAAGATTGACAAACATTAAACGCCATAATGAAGTGTTATAGTGTATATTTCCCTTGCGTAGTCCAAATTTCTTCCTACTGTGAACTTTTATTAGACACAAAAACGTTTGATATTCTATCTCTCTGAAACAGACAGAGTTCCGGTTCCGGCCATGCTTTTTTTACTAGTTCCGGCCGGAACCGAAACTCTAAAAAATCGGGAACCGGAACTAACCGGCCGGAACCGAGTTCCGGTGCACCCCTAGTGTGAGAAGCCTGACTTTATTACTTTACTCTGTCTAACACCAGACAATTTACTTGCCAAGTGGAGTCTTCAAGTGTGTGCGACTTTATGCCAGATTATTTACTCGCCAAGTGAAGAGTTTTAATGGGTTAATTTGAGGAGTCCTTACTATAAGTATGTTTTTGTTTACATAACAAAAACAAACTAAATAAATCCAGGCCTTAAAATATCGGTCGGTCACGGACATTGTCCGACCCATTCGTGAAATTGTCCGACGTAGAGAGGAAACCACCGGACATTCTGTCCGACCAAAGTGAATTTGAGGTTTATTGTTTGTCCGACCCGAGTGTATTGGTGTCCGAGCGACCTGTAGCTTTATCCTACGTAAATCAAAATGTACCCTAGCCCAGGACTAGAGGCTTGTGTGTTAAATGGAAAATCAGAGTACTATTGTATAAAAGGCGAACTGGAAATGTTGTTTTAACGTAGTCGAGTGCGGGGCGGCGAGCGAAATGGTGAAGTGGAAAACGGTCTTAAGCTGCCAAGTCTTTTTTAATATTGCTGTTCTGGCAAGCAAGTTAATTTTGGCTTGGAAATAAGTATGAAAGAAACAATTATTTAATATCTTTACAACATTTACTGTTTATTAATTTGTGTCATTCAGACTTATTTCCGAGTCAAAACTGAATTGAAGGTCATCGGACATATGTCCGACCCAAACTCAACGTCACCGGACATTTTGTCAGACGGCTCTGGAAAAGATATTTTAAGGCCTGATAAATCTCCCCTATAAGCTTTGAAGACAACCAAAGGCACCTGAGCACGACATCACACAAGACCTACCAGGTGGTGAGACAGCCATGAGAAATCCTGTATTGGGGCTTGTACCATATGATGGCATGGTAATAGGTGATGACACAGGACTAGATGTTGAGGTCGATGGGTCTTGATTGGTTGATTGAGGACTCATAGAGAGCCTGGCAAGTCTACGCTGCCGAATCTGAGAATGAAAATAAGGTAGGTCTAGATCGATTTATCAACAAGCATCAAGATCAGAGTTTATTAGGATATAAACAAACATTAAAGCATAAAATACAGTCTTAATAATATCATATAACAATAAAATTGTGACGTGATACAAAATTGTGACGTGATACGAAATTGTGGCAAACTTGCCAAACTGTTATACGAGCTGTTATATGTCAAAACAATCACTTATAATAATCATAAATTACAAGATCTAACAATTCCCAAGAAAAACTGTATTTAAAGATGGTATTTCATTGCGAATTGTAAAATCTAGAAACTTTGTAAAGTGAACAATAGCTTTGTAAAATATGAACGACTCATCGTGACCAAGCCAGGCTGCCCAGGCAGAGACAACTACTTGCTATTTTCAAAAGAATATTTAACACAAATTTATGACTTTTCAACTTACTTCTTCGGCGGTTAACTCGCTCATTCTCTCGATTAAATAAACCAAGAGCTCCCGGCGTAAAACCCCCGCTCGATTTTAAGAAATATTTCAATATTTTTCAAAATAATTTCAATGTTTTGATGCCAAAATTGAAGATAATTTATGAGCCCGCGCGATTAAATGTCAGCGATGTTCATTTGATGACGTCATCCGGAAAACTTCATGTAGCCCTCATTATAGTATATCAAAATACAATGAAATTGGGGTAAGTACCTTAGGCTACTTGGCCTACCTTAGGGCACCCTAAGGTAGGTCAAGGTACCCTAAGATAGGCTAAGGTACCCTAAGGTAGGCCAAGGTACCCTAAGGTCCCTAGGGCTAAGTTACCCTAATACACCCAAAGGTACCCTAATCTCATCAACAGTTATCCACAAGCATCGACTATTTATCAACAATTATCTACCTATGTCCACAGTTATCAAGAAGTATCCACACATATACGGTCAGTTATCAAGAGTGATCAACAACCGTCAGCAATTATCCAGTTACCAGCAGACATTAACAGTATCTACAATTGTCAACACCCATCAACAGTAATCTACTTCTATCCTCCATGTCGTTTCAAAGCCGAAAACAGGGATACCTTGCAATATGGCATGCCGAAAACAGGCATCCTTTATAGCCACAAACCGGCTATAAGGTATGCCTAAAACAGGCATCCTTCATAGTCACAAACCATGACTATAAGGTATGCCCAAAACAGGCATCGTTTATAGCCACAAACCATGGTGATAAGGTAAAGTATGCCCAAAACAAGTATATAGCCACAGACCATGGCTACAAGGTATGCTGAAAGCAGGCATCCCTTAAGGCTAGTTTCCACTCCGGAAAATTATCCGTGGATTGGAACGGGCAAGACAATTTTTCTTTGTGTTAAAGTCATTAGTTCCAACCCAGAGCTCACAAGACAAAGCGTTCCAATCCAAAGTGGAAACTAGCCTTGACATGGCACAAAGGAAGACTAGTAACATAATAAAAAGACACACACAAAAATACTATACACCATGTTATTAAATTACAATTTTTAGACCATACTTCTTCTCTAAAAGTTTGTTCTAGTCGTGGTATTTGCTAAATATGAAGTTGAACTAATGATCTTTTTCGCGTGGGAAAATCACTAAAAACATGTCAAGACAAAAATATGAACACAATAATGTCCTCTCTATGTGCGAGACATGGTTCTCGATAAAAAATTTGCACTATGTTGCTTATCTAACAAAGGTAAAGCGGTTGATTAAACTCCACCGTCTTCACGGGTGACAGGCGACGTCGAGCGGCGAGGAGATCGTTGTGGCGAGCCACGGTTAGGCGAGGGTGATCTGGATTGACGACGGGGGGATTGGGAGCGAGAACGAGATCGTCGGGGGGAACGCGATTGGCTGCGACGGGGGGAACGAGATGCTCTAAAATGAAAGAATGATTGCACGTAGTTTATTACAGATCACTGGACAAAAGTTCGTCGCGGTTTTAGTTTGAAATGTGGAAGTACCGTAAGTAGAAATTAAGGCTTGTGAACAAGTGTTTTGAATCTTAGTTTTGAGGCTGGTAAATAAATTTGTCGTAGGGCAATGTCCATCGTATTTGTCCATTGGTGGGGGGTTGGCACCGAAGAGAAAAGGGTTGGATAAACAAAATTTCGAGTGAGTAAAATGTTGGGTAAATGAAAAACAAAACAACTCAAGGGTTGGGTAATAAACATTTATTGTTATTTCCAAAACACGACTCATTCGAATATTGAAGACTAAAAAGCAGTGTCAACAGTCACATGTCAATACAACATGTAAATTCAATCAGAGTCACTTTCTTGATTACCTTTAGATTTGTGACATTTGTCAGGAGGCAACAACACGAAACTTTAGACTGCAGAAAATTGCTCATACTTACGTCACAGAAGTGTTAAAGGACATGTGTGACAACTGAATGGTATCCTTTTGTAAAGTTTTTGTGGGGTGGGAATTTTTTTTAATTTCAATAATTCAATTTGAGAAGTTGGGCAAACTTTTTAATGGTTGGATAAGCAATTTTTTTATCAAGAAAAACATTTTTCTTCGGTGCCATCCCTTGCCATAAATAATGACCGGTCCCTCATAGGATGCTTTCCACACTGGATGTTTTATAGATACCTTCTTGGCGAGCGAGATCTGGAACGTCTGCGTCCTCCGCCTCCTCCTCCTCCTCCGCCACTGACGCCGCGACCCTGAAACAATGCCGTCACATACATCAGAGAAATGGCACAACTCATGCGAGTTTTTTAATTTTTATAAATCTGGGTATAAAATCTCAAAGTACCTCGGATAGTCTAACACGTCTTCCCATCAGTTCTGTTCCATCAAGCTTCTTGATCGCTTTCTTCATGTCTTCTTCACAAGCAAAATCTACAACGCTGAGGAAATAAACATGGCCATCAACAGACTGATCAACTTGTGAAACTTTCCCATCCAATAGACAATTTCCATTATACAGTAATTTTGAAACTAGGCAAGGAGATGCAAATTAAATCAGCACAGCTAGAAAGAGCATACTAAAATGAGTAAAATTGCAAATTTTGGTTGCGAAATGTTGTAAAATGCGGAAAATATAGCCTTACAAATTTTGTATACTTTTGTATTGCGTGCGGAAATAGCTATACCATTTTCGGCCCAAATGTGGTAGTAATTTCCGCACGCAATACAAAAGTATACAAAATTTGCAAACTTTGCAAGGCTATACTTTCCGCATTTTACAACATTTAGCGACCAAATTTTGCAATCAATCATTTTTGTATGCTCTTTCTAGCTGTGGTGATTTATTTGCATCTCCTTGCCTAGTTTTAAAATTAGTCTATAATGGGAATTGTCTATTAAGCCTGGGTTATACTCTCAAAGTCTCTGTGATCACAGTAAGAACTTTGCATAGATAAATTCTAAGTTTTGAAGGACTTGAGGGAACCGACTCTGTCTTTAACATTAAGTCAGTTTGCTCAAAAAATTCTTACAAATCCTTCGAATTTATCCGTGCAAAATTCCTACTGTGATCACAGAAACGTTGATAATGTAAACCAGGGCAAGAAAAAAAGAATTTTCTTCCTGGGAGCACAACGACCTGGAGACCAAAATTTCCTGCAGACCAAAGGAGTATTTTTGTGCTAAATCTGCATGTGCATAAACCTGTAATGTTCAGCTGACCATGGTTTTAAATTCAAGGAATAATGTCTGTCAACGATACAGTATGTTGTTGCGCCCATAGTGGGACATGGGTGTTAAGGTTTCCTTCAAATTTTCAATAGCAAATCTTCATTCAAACAAATTTCCTGCAGCTGTTTAACATTTCCTGCGAGCAGTGCTCGCCTATTTTTCCACCCCTGGACTGCAAAACAGGCTGAAGAAGTTGACATTTTCAAACTAATTTTACAGTCATCAAAACCTACCCTTGTCCGGCACGGTCTTTGTGACACTGAGTGAACGTCACTTCACCAGCCTGCCTCATGTAATCTTTCAAATCCTGTCACGAAATAAAATATTCCAGTGTAATTTTAAAAGGCTAACAAATCAACCTCTTGAAAGGGATGACATTTGAATTACCGGTACCAAACTGGCAAAATCATTTTGTGAAATTCATTCAACATACATAGGGGACAGTGACATAATTTGCACACTACAAATGGATATCCTACATGGGTCAGTTGTTCCAAAGCCGGTCAGCTTAATCCCAGGGTTACGTAAAATTCAAAGCAAACTTCCCCAACAGGCAACAACTTGTTTATCAATTTGGAAAATATTTCTTCAGAAATCTTGGCTGGATCAATAGGAGTTTTCTTTCCTGCATGCAGAAATACACAAACTAAAACAACAGGTTAAAGTGGAAGTCAAGTCCATATGTAAACAAATGGTTTGTTTACATTTTGAACTGCTGTATTTTTTTAAATATGATGTACTGTCTGAATATCTAACACTATTTTGGTTCGCTATGATTCTAAACGAATATGAAATAGACTTTATGTTCAGAAAAATTCGAAATTTGGGCAATGTTTACATCAGAGGGTCCTCACATTGTTATGAGCAGAACTGATGCACAGAACAGACTTGACTTCCACTTTAAATTTAATGCTAATCCAGCTTTGAACAACCAACCCAAGAGATTTTACCACATTATCTTACCTTTCTACAAAAAGAAAGCATTTAGTACCAATTACATGCAATAAGATTTTGTTGGAAAGCTAAAGCACCCAAAGCCAAGCCAGAGTAACTAGTGGCGAGGGCCAAAGCCATTTCCAGATTTTAGAAGACTGTGAGAAGGCCAAGCCATATTTTACCAGAGTTTAGCCAATTTTTAAACCAAGTGCCAAAGGCCACGGAGATAGCATCTGGGCCAAGAAGGGATATCCCTTTCCGGACCTCAACCTGCCAAAACTTTTGGTCTCGGCAGGCAGCCATTTCAACACAGCCAATGATAGATACATTATAACTGAACTAATTTGGGCCAATTTAGAACATTCCGAGAGTGAGGCCAATGAACACTGTATGCCAAGGCTTTTTGAAATGACCACAGCCATGCCAATTTTTCACCATTGTAAGCAGCCAAATATATATTTTACTTTGCTCTAATAAACCATCACTAGCCTATGTATTGTAAGCCAGAAGACCACATATACACGATAGCACCTGTTTGGTATAAAAAGTAAACTTCCTGAATTATATATGTATATAAATTTACTAATGATGGAATACGTGTTGGAATTATATGGGCCATATTTTAAATGTCCAGAAATTATGCCACTAGGCTAGATTAGAGGGAATGGATAGGATTTGAATAATGGTTAGGCATAGTTTCTGGATAAGCAATCATTGTGGTTGTTAATATCGAAATTTGTGAATGGGTCATTTTAGAAAAGATAAACACTCCCCCCACGGAGGAAATTTCTGCCATGATGGGGGAGGCATGGATGTTTTCCGGAATGACCCAATAGAACTAATTCAGTTGTATTTCTCACCTGCCAGCCAGCTCTGGTTGACAAGTTGTCAACAACCACTCTCCATTCTGTATTATACGGCGCACCATACCTGCTTTAAAAAAACAGTCATAGGGAACAAGGTGTAAGATGTGTAATGCAATAAAACACCCAAATAACCATGGTATAAGTTAAGGTACACCAGATGTCTATAGTGAACTCAGGAAAATGTAGATTAGTTCCGTCTTCTTGACGTGTCAATATTTGACCATCTAAATCCTAACCTGTCTCGGAAACTGTTACCACCATCTCGTCTGCCATAGTCACGTCTGTCCCCACCATAACCACCGCCGCCGCCACCACCACCTCTGTATCCTCGGGATCGGTCTGGTTTCGCATGTTCTACTGTCACTCTGGTAGGATTGGAGAAGTAGAGGCACAATTGTACATGGACTTATAATTAGCAGTATTCACAAGTTTGTAGCCTTCATAAGCTTGTAGTCATGATTTTACTGTTGACATAAAGAGTCGTGCAAATAGCACATAGATGCACTGTTGCAAGGCATGTTCAATTATATTCTATATGCAATATATTTTAAACATCTTGAATGTATAGGCCTCATCTATCACTGTTGTTTTCTATCTTATAAAAATACTTAGTCATTCCTGCATGGCTAACTAACAAGGCAACTATGAAGCTACAATGACTTTTTTCAGCAATAAAAGCCTGATACTTGCCTAATAGTACCGGTATTTAAGAAAATTTACACTAAACCAAGGCTACAAATGTTTTGAAGCAACGTATTATCCCCACTCTTATATTTCACCAAGTTTCTAACTGGAATTAGTGTGGATTGTGATAGTTTCCAATATACCTTTCACCCAACAGGTCCTTGTTATTCAGATCATGGACGGCATCCTCAGCATCTCTATAGTCTTCGAATGCCTAGAGTTTGGCAAAGAACTATCTTACTTGCTATCCAAGAAGACAGCTCACAATGGTTTTTACGGGATATGAGATAGCACTTATTTTGGTAATGGAAACCGGTCAAAAGGATTGAAAATGGGAGGATTTAGGTTTTTGAAAAAGTTGCAAGAGTTACGGTAAGAAAAAATCTACCAAAATTGTGAGGTAATAAAATATTTGAGCACATGATTTGATGTTACGAGCTGATGATTTGATGTTACGAACACAAAATTAATTTTCGCAGTAAATGTAGACGTCAATACCAATGTTATCCATATTTTATCCTATAACACCCTAATAACCCCTAATCTAATATCCTAAATATAACCAATTTTACCCCTAAATATCCCTAAAAGCCCATACAAGTACAGTTGCATACTAATTAAATTTTTTATACAAATTTTTTTTCATACAAAAAATTGCCTCAAAATGTTAAAATTACTGCGATCTGAAGCAAAATATGCGCTAAAACGCTACTTCAGATAGTAACCATAAGGATTCAGTCAAGCATTCAGCGATCTAGCACAAAAACTACAGAAAAATAAATCGATATACAACATATAAAACGTGTACTCACAACGAAAGCGAAGCCGGTTTTTACATTAATATCACGGATCCTTCCGTAGCCTTTAAAGAACCTTTCGATATCGCTTTCTCGAATACGGTAAGGTAGACGACCAAGAAACACTCTAGCATCGCTGTCGCGACTCATTTTCCAACAGATTTTCGGTTAAAAAGACTTAAAACACACTCCCTACAAAGAAGCTTTCGATTTTAATATAGTGGTGGTCAAGAAATAATTTATGGCATGCTTAATTCCTTTATCACGTGGCAGTACGATGACGTCATTTCCGGAATATTTCCACTGATCCAAAGACGGCTTGGAAATATCTGGATGGTTCGTAAATGGATAGTCGAACTTTTATGCTAGTCTCCCCACTTATTTTTGCTACCAAATACAACACTATTACGTATAATGAAAATAATTCGCATTATTTTCTTGCTGCCGATTGGCCATCATGGGAATATTTTGATGTATTGAAAAAAAAATAAACAAAAACGCGACGCAAAAATAGTAAGGCATCAACTATTTCGCTGACCTCAGTCAGAATGACATTTCGTCAAAACTTTTTCCTTCAAGAATAGTTTAGAAACGAATTTGTAGTAGGGTTAGGTTAGGGTTAGAGTTGGTGTTTGGAGTAGAGATAGTGTTAGTAAAACCGTTGCTTTGTTACGTTTTGTCACTTTGAGGCCAGCGAAATAATGGTCAATAATCTCCAAGGGTGGGTAGTAGCGAAGTAGTTGTAGTTCGCTACTGTAGCGAACTACAATTTTCAAGTAGCCAGTAGTTTTTGACTACTTTTTTAAAACAGTAGTTGTAGTTATAGCGAACTACATTTTGCCTAAAAGTAGCCAAGTAGTTGACTACTTTTCAAACAGCAAATCGCTATTCGCTACTTTTTAAAATTGTTAGCAACCGTTCATATAGAATAGAATGATATTAAGACACGGTTTGCTTAAAAGATTATTTTACACAGTAAAGATTATTTTAGCGCAATGAAAAGTGGCACTCCTGAATACTGTAGTGCTTACAAATTAAAATGTTGCTTTGACCCTTCTTGTTTACTGTAGCTACTCGTAAGTCGATTTGTTATAGGTTATATTACAGCCTGAGCTAGTGGATGCTCCAAATACAGTAAAACTAGAAAATATAGCGTAGCGAAATAGCGAAATAGTTCGCTACATTTTTAAAGCAGTAGCTGTAGTCAGTAGCGAACGACCTTTGTTCAAAGTAGCAGTAGTTGTAGCTGACTACATATTTTTGAAGTAGCTGTAGTTATAGCGAACTACAAAAATTTTGTAGTCAACCCACCCTTGATAATCTCTTCCAAATAGTAATTACTGTGCTGTCGAACTCGACAACTGGACTCAGTAGCTCAGTTGGTTAGAGCACCACACAGGATCGCAGGGCAGCAGGTTCAATTCCTGCCAGAGGAACTACAGTTGCATTTTTCGCAACTGCTCCTGGTTATGTCACATTAGGGACTGGTCATAATTTATCAGGGGGGGGGAGGTGCAATTCAAAATTTTAAGGAATGATATTTTGTGACCCTGCTTTTCCATAACCCGGAAAAATAATGCCCCCCCCCTTATGTGAGAAGAACAAAATGTGAGAAGACATGTATAAAACAATTGATTGAACTAAAACAGCAGACTCCCTCCCCACCTTCATAAACTGTCTAATATTTTATGAACCCCCTTTTTCCTGGCTAAAAAATATGTGACTCCCACCACTGTTTCCACCTCCCCACCCCTCCTGCTAAATTGTGACCAGTCCCTTAACGTACAAAAAAATCCGCACTGGAAAACCCATCAGAAATTTTTGCATACTTTACTTTTTTTTTGTAAACAATACATGACCACAAACTCGTACAACAGATTATATTATGCGACTTTGAATACATGTGACATCAATTTCAAGCAAAAATTTCACAATCATCATAAATTAAAAGAAAATCAACATCAAGATATTTTCATTATTATAACATTTTCGTTTAATAGCGTTCAGTATCTCGTAATAATAATTCATCCACAAAAACAAATCAGTGAAATTGTTTATTCGACAAATACGGACAGAATTGAACTAAATCACTACGTATATAATAGATTTCGTTTGTACGAAATACAGAATGTTCTCCCCCCCGTCCATGAAAGATAAACGCTACAATTTAGTCTGCGTCGCCATCGCGTTTCTGGGGGGACGCGGAACGGCGGGGCGAGCCGCGGTTTGGTGAAGGAGAGCGGGAATCACGACGCGGGGAACGGGACGCGGATTTGGATCTTTTTGGAGAACGAGACGGACTGCGGCGCGGAGAACGGGATCTGAAAGAAAAGAATACAAATGTCAAAGTCCATTTCAAACCAAATTTGATTTCAGTTCATTTTTGTAAGATGAATAGCCGCATGTGAACGAGTGGATTAGCTATTTTTATATAATACCTTATTGAATTCTGATCGTTTAATTGGCTGTTTATGGTCACGTGATATTGAATAGAGTGCAATGGAATACGTTCCATTGCACTCTTGCGAGTGCATTTGTACTATACGTTTTATTCCACTGCACTCTTTGTGTTTTCGATAAATCGCATCCGTCAGAATGCTCCTCGTACGGTGATCGCAGTTTATTTTAACCCGATATTCGAAACTCAGTAAATGGGATTTAATGCAAATACGACTCGTCAAAATGGCGGGAGCTTACAGTAAACCTTTTAATATTAGTCTATTTTGGTATTATATAAAACAAATAATGAATGTTTCTATTCGTGCAAACGTAAGAATATTTTCATTCGGTGAAAGATGGAATGTTCCATTCAACTCGGCTGTCGCCTCGTTGAATGGAACATTCCATCTTTCACCTCATGAAAATATTCTTACCATTGCACTCATAAACATTCATTATTTGTATACTGTCTAATGCCAGACAATTTCACAAGTCAAGGGGAGAATGCTACCACTCAGTGAATTAAAAAGCTATTAGACTAGCACTCCCATCCTGTAGTAGCAACAAGTTTTATGCATTACCTTTTAGGAGAACGCGAGCGAGAACGTCTTCGGCCTCCAGGAACAGTTCCTTTACTCTGGAACAATTGAACATTCCACATTACATAATTGTCTGAAAAGCCGCACGTACAAAACTCACATTCTGTACATGCATGTGTTTGATACCCTACCTCAGTCAGTTTGAGCCGTTTCCCCATCAATTCAGTACCATCAAGTTTTCTGATCGCTCGTTTCATATCATCTTCACACGAAAATTCTACAACACTGCAGAAAGAAATAAAACGAAGATGAGAGTTGAATTGTTCAAATCGCAACTTTAATGAATTTCAAACAGCTTTGTCAGATATGAACATGCAAAACCTCCCTCAACATATAATTATTTCTATATAAGTTTATTGAAGTCTATGAAGCTATTACCCTTCTCCGGCTCTGTCTTTATGGCACTGTGAGAAAGTGACGTCACCAACTTGCCTCATGTAATCTTTCAAATCCTGAAAAGAACAATTTTGCTAAATTGATTTCTCCAATTCAAGAAAAATCATTGCCATTTTATTTCCCACCGAAAATATCACTGCAGTGTAAAGGATTTCAGACTGACTTTGTGTAGAAAAACAGGGTAGTGGTTAACAATTCATCAATAAATTACAATACTTTTGGTGCAGAAAGAACATGTTACCATTCAGCTAAATCATTTGTCAGCTGTTGCTCAAAGACGTTTAGAAATTATGGGGAGCAGGACCTAGATTTGTGGCAGAGTGCAGAATGGTTTGCATGTTTGAAGCAGAACCTCTCATTGAGCCAAAGTGCACTTTTTTTTGTCAAGCTCCTTACCTGCTGAACACAAATCATTAACCGACCCAGGACAATCACCCACAATGGTTGCTAAGCAACCAAAACCAGCTTAACCATTTTTTGAAAACCATTCACATGTGATATGGTGTGGAAGTGACACAAGTGACCTCTGACTACGGCAGCTACCAAAACTTTTTTGCCTTGGCAGAATTTTTCGGAATCCAAATGGAAAACGCTCAACCATTGTTGACCATATTCTAAGCAACCAAACTAATCTACTGTCCACCAATTTAGACACACACCAGAAATGCCAAGTGGCAAGTGCTAAAAAGCACATGGTTATTGAAGTGACCAGAGACATGCTGATTTGTAACCATAGTAGAATAACCAATTGAAATTAAACCATATCTAGCTGGTTATACCAGCGGGCCAGATATAAGAAACCACCTGTTTGGTATAAAAGCAAACTGGCTAAATTATTATATGTAAACATATAAGATAATCACATTCTAATTTATATTATACCCTCACAGACATTACCTGACATTGTTTCTTGGCCTATGCACAAATCATGTTCACAAAAAGATTGATGATACAATGTATGGAAAAGTCCTACCTGCCAGCCAGCTCTTGTAGACAAATTCTCAACAACCACTCTCCATTCTGTGTTATATGGGGAACCATATCTATTTAATAGTCATAGCATGACAAAGTTATCCACTGAAAGGCATTGGAATAAGTAAAGAATCTGGCTGGCAAATTTTTGCCTACATGAAACAGAAACAGGCTGGCAACAGGTTGATAAATTTATGTTTCAATAAAATTCTCCTGTGGTAACATTGCTAACATTTCTTCAAGTGATTGCAGACTTGTGTCAGAAAATGTTTTGTACTGACATAAACTTACTTGTCACGAAATGTAAAACCACCACCCCCTCCACTTCGACCACCATAGTCACGCCTACCACGATCATACCCACCACCGCCACCTCCACCACCACCACTTCTGTAGCCACCAGATCTGGATGGCCGTGCATGCTCCACTGTTACCCTAATGGTGAAATAATAGTTGTAATACAGTAAGGCATTGGTAAGGCATTGAATGGGCAACATTTGCAGAGAAAAGAAGACCAGGGGGCAGTTGCTTGAAAGCCGGTTAGCTCAATCCAAGGTTAGGCGTAAAAAAAATACCTGTGGTTCTAGTTCCTGACCGACCCTATTATTTTTTCAATGCGATTGACCGTGCGACCCTATTTTCTCCAGGTGGTTGCGGGCTGCTCATACAGCGTGCTAAAATGGCGTCTGTTCTCACACTAATTATTGAATCAAATTGCCTAAATTTGTCCATAGGAAATACGCATCTCTAGATAATATTGATGTCTGAACTCTACTGCAAATCGCTCAGCAAAAAACTGCCAAAACCATGAAAAAAATATTCAAAAACAAAATTTATTTCCGACCAACCGACCCTAATTTTTTCATGATATGAAACCGGAACCACAGGTATTTTTTTTTTACGCCTTAGCAAAATCTTCAAAGCAATCTTCCCAACAACTTGCTTATATGAACATGGAAATATTTTTTTAGAAATTTTGTTATGGAAATTGAGAATGGAAATATTTTTCGTAAAGTTTATATGTTTTGAAATTTTTAGAAGTTATATTTTCTAAAGTTTTGAAATACATAGATATGTAGAAATACACAGACCGAAACAGAGTGTTATATTTTAACCTAGGGTTAGTGCTTAAGGCGTAAAAAAATCCCTGTGGTTCCGGTTTCATATCGCGTAAAAAATTAGGGTCGGTAGATCGGAAATAATTTTTTTTTTGAATATTTTTTTCATGGTTTTTTCAATAATTAGTGTGACAATAGACACCATTTTGGCAGCAGCCCGCAACCACCCGGAGAAAATAGGGTCGCACGGTCAATCATGTTGAAAAAAATAATAGGATCGGTCGGGAACCAGAACCACAGGTATTTTTTTAACGCCTAATTCCAGCTTTGAACAACCAGCCTCTGATTGTCGAGGTTGATCCTGGGTGGGTTTTTTTGATAGAGAACAAGATGAGGAATAGCACTTTAATATAGGAGATCATAAGATGTGGAATTATAACAGACATTGGCTTTGCAGAGAAGATGAGGGAAGCAATGTTGACAGCTCTATATAGTATATTAAGGAAAACTGGTCAGAGATATTAGGCACTTTACAGTTTACCACATCCAAATATTTCAGAGCTTAATAAGTGGCAATGCACCCTTATGCAACTGGCTTTTAATTTAATTATTATTGTAGGACTATCTAACACCAGATGATTTTATTTGTCAAATATTGAGCCACAGCTGTTCTTGTCTGGAATAGAGCTGTGCGCCGGAGTACCAGAGCCCCAGCATATTTTGCCAGAGCAGGAAAACTCCGGCAAACAAAATTATGAAAAATTATTTCATATTTCAATGAACTTTTGGTAATTTTCCTTAAAATTTCCTTGCCAGAGCCGGAGTTTTGACTGCCAGAGCCGGAGTTTGCACAGCTCTAGTTTGGAATCACAAACGTGAAACTACATCGACTGTTGTTCAATCAAGAACACCTGACGCCATCACTCACAATCTATCAGTTGGCACAGGTGTTGTCAAAACCCTTGCTTGCAGCTTGCTTAATAATTAAGCTCTCTATTACTTGGTTATAGAAAAATTTCCTAAACATTTTATTCAAATTCAAACAGAGAGCCGATGATGGATCCAAAATTAAAAAGATCCAAATATGAGGGAACTTACCTATCCCCAAGTAGATCTTTGTTGTTTAGATCATGAACTGCATCATCAGCATCGCGAGAATCTTCAAATTCCTATCAAAGAAATGAGGAACACATTAGTTGAAACCTTCATGTATCGAATGTTTACTCTCACGTTCAACAGCAAATTATCAGTCTACTTTAGCAACCTTGGACCAGCCAAATAACTCAATATAATACACAAACTGTCCACACAACCCAGCCAACCGTTTTCAACAACAAAATCTACGCACAAGCATCGCTAAACACAAATTTACAGACAGTTAAAAACACTCACAATGAAAGCGTAACCAAGTTTCAAATGTATATCTTGAATGCGGCCATATCCTTTGAAAAATTTCTCGATATCTCGTTTATCTGCACGATGTGGTAGGCGACCTATAAATACTCTGGATCCTCGTTCTCGATCGCGACTCATTTTGTCGGATTTTCGAGAAAAAAGCGTTTTAAAATTGAAATTTTTGATAGTGTGGAAATGCAACAAACACCAACAACGCGTTACCTGCAATTCTGCATATTTAATTAATCCTTCCCGGAAAACCCTGCGGGCGGCTTCGTCATCCCACCCAAAATTTGACAGGTGGGAAAAAAGTAGGGCTGCAGTTTGACCTGCGGGTTTTGACTATTGCGCAATAAATAAATGCCAAAACGCAACGTTCTTATTAAAGATGATGGTCAAAACTCAAAAGAACCACAATTAATACAGAACTGATGGTCAAATCCAACAATATAGTGACAGCGGAGTGTGTTTGGTAGTGGGGGCGGGGGGGGTGTGAACGAAGCCTATTGTGGTCAGATACGAATGTCGAATATCTCAATATTAAAACTATTTTATTTCATCATTAAAAGACTTAAATATTTGACACTTCATCACTAATGAGTACACTTGAATTTTTCCCAACTAGCCAGCTTTGTTAGGTATAAAAGAGGCACAGAATAGTTACATTATAAACTTTTGCAACACAGAAAATTTTTCGGTACATAATCAGCAGCTGGAAAGATCGTGCTTTTCTTTAATTAATATCTCTCGTATCACATTATCTTCCAAATCAAAATGTGAGTATTAAATGTCTTTGTTTAGTCTAAAATCTAATTTACATACACGTAGAATGTTTTGAAATATTATTAGGTCAAAGTCTATTGAAGATAAAATACATAGAATGATGTAACTAAAACAACTCCAAGAAAACTTCCTTGCGCTGCATGCGATCCTGAATGACCAAAGATATTCTGTACCACAACTTTGTTAGAATCAACCAACGCGGAATTGTATCGAAAATGCAAGCACCGGTCCTTATTCTTCGTTTCGTCGGTATACTTGAACGAATCATCCCACATGCTTTCGCATAAATCCTTGCCGTCTTTGTACAACTCTTTGAAACTCGTACAGGTCCGCTTACAAACGTTGTGCCCCTCCGAAGTGTAGTTGAAATCACGAATCCAATTCTTGGCGCATGCTAACTCGTCTCTGCAAGCATCGTACCACTCATCGCAGTAGCCCGAGCACACGGGAACATTGTTGAAAGATCCCTTCTTCGTGCGGTCTGCCCAGAGCCCTACATATGGTGAACAACTGTAAAAACATTCGACCCCTACCATATATTCTTGACATGGTTGACTTAGATTACGGCCACATAAATTCCACGAAAAGTTCCCAATCTTTTGAACCACTTGGGGCGCTAGCTGGTTGGTGAATTCAGACGTACAACACGAACTGTTTTTGAAAACGTGACAGGCTTTATACGACTCCTCTTCTGGGGTTGGTTTTGGCTTATGTCTCATACCAGGCAAGCATACTCCCTTCACTTCGTGAGCGCCGAATGCCATGTGAAGCGAAGCAAAATTTAGGACGCATATTATCAAGCATTTCACAACGATCATCTTGCCTCCACGACGTTCAAACTTTGATATGGCAGTTTTCTTCAAAGCTGCAGATGTAATTACGATGTAAACTTGAATACTATATCCGACTATCACACCGCAAAGCATGAACATCCCACGTGCGCGCACAGTTATGGAGACTTATGCCAGACACTATAATCAATCAATCAATCAATATATATTTATTTCCCATGTGTATGTTATAAGTAACAAATACTATGTGTAGTTTGAAGGTGTTGGGCTAGAGACCTACTGGAAACCTTTTCAGGCTTTTTAATGTAGGCCACTACTTAGGTTTAAAAAAAAATTGCATATATATTTACAGTGAAGAGTAATTATTGAAGTAAGACCTAAAAGTATATACTATTTACAAAAGAAGGATATTATATCATAATATACAGTCATACAAGATTACACAATTTTCGCTATAGAATTAACGGTTGCTGTATATCTGTGGTCATTGCATATAAGTTGAAGAAGATCTAGCTCACTATAACATGTTGTTTGATTAATCTTTTGTAGACAATGTAAGAGTTTAATCTTTTGAATTTTGTATCTAATGTATTCCATAGATTAACCCCTTTGTTAGAAAGAGTATGTATGACATAATTAGTTCTTTTACAACACTTGTGTAGTTTTGTTGCATTTCTTGTATTGTAGTTATGAATTTCATTGTTTGTTATAATCTATCTGTAATGAATATCGTTGTGTACATATGACATATTTCTCTGTGACAAACGGGTAGTATTTCAGGCCGTGCCCAAACTTGATTTATCAAACACAACTGATGATGCATGTTTTGTTGCGCAACAAAATTAGGTCGAGTATAGTGATGAAAGCCTAAATTAAGGTTGAGGGGTGTCACAGCTGGGTGCTTGTCCCTCACATTTTGAAGAATCAATCTTTGGTACTCTATTCTTTATTGTTTTGTGAAAAAGATCGGGGCATTTATTTGCTTTGCTAAAACTTTCGACCGTAAGCCCAGACTTCATCACAAAAAATCCCCAGAAAAAAATTCGTGTCAAATATGCCTAGATATTACTGTCAAATAGTCTCCCAGATGGCAGGAAATTGCCATTCCCGGCCGAGACGTACCCTAAAGTTTTCAAGTACTGAGTCTGAGTGCAAATTGAAAATATTATTTAAACGTTCTTGATTACATGATGTAATCCATATCTGATTGTTCTAGAAGCTAAGATCCAATGGGTTTTTCATATATGTGATTGTAATTGTAATTGTACCTGTATCTTTCCTAGTTTTCCCAACACATGTGTCAGGCTCACTCAGGCATTAAAAATATAGACTCGCAAAAATATCCTAACGTTTGATTGATTCTCAAATCGCAGAATCTGAAGATTTCATTTGGCATTTTCACACTGTCAATCAAAATGAATGCGAAACTAAGAGTAAAAAAATTTATATATTAAATTATTTATTTATATATGAATTTCATGTTACAGTATACAAAAGTTTACGAAATAATTTTGGCATATATCCTCGCTTTGGTTTGCTGCGCCGTCGCGTGAGTAGCGCGCGGGACAACACGCGTGGGAAATAGAAATGGAATATCATGAACTTTGTGCGGCGCTACCAGGCACACACGTAAAAACGCTCAAGTTGTCACAAGTTGCAAACAAGCTGAAACCAGGATGTGTTCGCACTGATTGTTCCCAGTTGTTGTGACAAGTCTGAAATAAGTTGTGATATCACCTTGTTACAAGGTTGATGACGGTAACAGACTTGCTATACAAGTTTAAAGTTTGTTCGTTCACTGCAACCAGGTATATCAATCATGTTTCGCTCGCTACTCTGGTTTAAATAAATGATTACAAAGCCCAATCGAATTGTAATCAAGACCCAACGTTTCGACACTCCAGTCTAGTGTCTTCATCAGGGGTGATCTAAAGATGCAATCGTGGCTTTTTTATTTACTCCATTTATTTATTTAGCTTTGCCAACTAGGGCAGGGTCACCACAACAGCATATGCCAATTACTGTGGGCCCTATTTTACCTAACCCACCCTGTCAAATATCCAAGGGATGACGTCACCGGGCTTTGTAATAATTTATTTAAACCAGAGTAGCGAGCGAAACATGATTGCTACAAGTTGTTCCAACAAGACTAATACAAGCTGCTTGTGTGATGTTACTCTGAGTGTATATCCACACCGGGCAGGCTCGAAAAATATGCCTGGCCACGGTGGGATTCGAACCTACGACCTTTGGGTACAAGCTGTTCGTAACAAGTATAGCAACGAGCTTGTTGTCATCAACTTGTTGACAACTTGTTACATGGCAGACGATATCAGACTTGTTGGAACAACTTGGTGCTGTTGGCCTCATCAACCTTGTTACAAGACGATAACAACTTGTCCCAAAGTTGTCAACAACTGGGAACAAGCACTGCGAACAAACGTACGTACAGACGATATCGGGCTTGCTGGAACAACTTGTTGCGAGTCTGTTGACCACATTAACCTCGTTGCAAGATGTTAACAACTTGTGTTAGACTTGTCAACAACTGGGAACAAGCAGTGCGAACACAACTTTTTGAGAAGTTGTGAGATTTGTATGCGTGCATGCTCGGCGACGGCGAAGCAAGCGCTTGCCTGCCTGCCTGCGCGGAGGCTACATTTATTACATTAATTTATATATCTGTACGATGGTCGTCAAAGTGTTAGTTCTAGTTTTTTTGTTGTTGTGTTTTTCACAACACCACTACGGTCAAACGTCAAGCGCCACTATGACAGGAAATACGGAATAGAAAAGCATTTACTATAAAGAAATGGCTAAAGGTACAAGCTCAGGAATTTCATCACTTTTTCCTTGTGACAAAAGTTATAATGAGCATATCTTTACACATTTTGCTAGAGGGCGGAGCTTCAAAACGATACTCTATCGAATACAAGCAATCGATACATGGACGCTTGCTTTACCGCGGTGCTTTTTTATCTTGTTTATGTACAATTGCTCTAATTTAATGCTTAACAAGCTTTAATGCAACGAGCAACGAAGCTGCTAAGTTGCCGATTACGGCTTGGTTCACGCTAACGATTTTGTCGGCGATTTTATCTTTCTGACGGATGATAATGAGTGAACGCGCAACCTAACCTAAAGTACAGAAAATATATTTTTTCGAAAGTATACATTTCTAAGTCTTTTGCATATCATTCGTTAAAACACATCCCCCAGGAGGAGAAAAATCGCCGACACAATAGGCAATTCCAGCTTTTAGTTTATGCGTGCAGGGGACGATGGGAAGTAAGGTATCACATTGCTGATTATGCTGAAAAAATAGAAATGGTGGCCGTGTAAACACGGAGTGATAGCTTATACTTGTAAATATTGAAATATTTTGGTTGTTTCGGTAGTTTTTATTGAAAATTTTCAGCATAATCAGCACTATGATACCTTACTTCCCATCATCCCCAGCAGGCATAAAGTAAAAGCTGGAATTGCCTATTGCTAGTGTGAACCTGGCTTAAATTTCGCCTGATAAAAATTGAACACAAGCTAACAGCTACCTATTTTCCTCACATATCTGCACAAGCAATCCTGACAAAACAATTTTCGCAGGTAACTCTAGACACCAGTCCCTAGCGTCCAATTCGGTCTCACTGTTCGGCGTGGACTTCGTGTAACCTTCGGAAGGCAATCGGATCTCAAACGCCACTTGAGTGCTCGACCGCTTGCCAGAAATTGCGTCTGTAAACCTGAATGAAGAAACAACGATAAAGTATTCAATCCAGGTTTATTACTGGATCAGTGATATTAGAAAATAAGAACTTACAGAAATTTCTTTTCATTGGTCAGCGTCATTGCACGAACGATACTTGGTGACACAACAATTTTCTTGTCTCCATGTCCAGTAATCACGTGATTGCTTTTCCGAGGCGGTAAAACGGTACCTCTGTCCAGCGTTCTCCGTATGGAGCCCACGTGCACAACGGTGTATGCCAAATGATTTTGAGAAAATATTTGAGCTGAATTTAAATTCGGAGGAAGTCTAAAAAGTACAATGGAACGTAAATTACAGTAAATGGCTGTCCTATTTATAAACAGCTTTCTAGCAACACCTTAGAACTGACCTTAGTTCAAATTTGCACCAGCCAATAGGACGAGCGTATTCCTGCGGCGGGTCACCGCAGGCCGTGACACGATGCTCATCGCGGGCATCACAGCAACTGGAGCAATAACAAATCACATTCTTCGTAAAATATTGTTCTAAGAAAAAATAGAATACAAAAAATATGAAGTAAGGTAAATTTATACTGGGATAGCTCTATCATGATACAATATTTTCATGCGCGAAAACACAACACTGCGTCAGTTGAACCGGTTCGCTGAGTATGCGAGTTCAAATATCACTTGAGTGTTGAGTTTTTCTCATAAATATATTGTATCATGTCAGGCCCTGATGGCTCTGAAATAGCCCTATCACTTCTCTCTATCTGAAACATTCTCCTGAAACTTACTGAGGTGCAGTAAGGTGAAAAGAACTGGGCAAAAAAAAAATATGTGGGTTTCCGGTCTCTTCTTATAAAAACTTAGGTAGGGTAGGTCGGTTTTAACTTTTTTTTTTAAAACTTTTTTTTAATTTTCCGAACAAGCGGACGCCATTTTGTTTAGTCAGTGCTTCCACATCCAAAGATAAATTTCCCTAATATTGCCTCAAATTTCAATTTTCCACAAACTTTTTCCTCTAAGTGGAAACACTTACAAGCATGACCCAATAAAAAAGTTTAGGGTCGGGATTTCGACGTCCAAAAGCTAGGTAGGGTCGGGAAACCGGAAACCCACATATTTTTTGTTTGGCCCTGTATGACGCACTTTGCAATTAAAAGATTAGTTACAACAACAATATTTTCACCAATCTTACCAGGTATTCCAAGAGTAAGTTTGAATCTTTCGCAGCGTTTCTTGTACTCACAATTTTCACAAGAAAGCATTTTATCTAGACGGAATAAAAGAGTTACTACTTGACTTTATATCTGATAAAACTCATCTTCATTAGTATTCTTTTTATAATTGTTCATCCTAATTAGTATGATTATATAATTGTTCATCCTAATTAGTATTCTTTTGTAGTCGTATTTTAAGCTATTCAAAACACTCGAACTCGCGTTTTATCATATCTATATATAAAATATGATAAAACACTCCTTCTCGTGTTTCAAATACTACATAATAAACAGGTACTATACCTTTACTCTCGTCTGTTGATACTTTCTCTTCCTCAACATCACTCTTCACATCCTCCTCACTGTGCTCCACACTTCGTAACTCCGGTATCTTGTTACAAGGCACGACTGAGAGTTGTTCGCAACGCCCATATAGATCCAACATGGCGTGTTTCGTGGTGGAAATCTCATGATCGACAAATCCTTTGTCCGTGTCATTCACGATGATATGTAAACGGTTGTCATCGTCGCATATCAGACCGACCCTATCACCCTCTCGCAAATCATCAAAATTGAACGGATACTGGATGTCCGTCTGAGGGAAAAAACAAAAATAAACGACGTTTTCGTAGTTACGTGGGGATTGTTAATACAGTTCTTAGAGCAATCTTGTACAAGTTTAATTCCACAGTGTTCCTGTATTTCCAGGGTTCCATCAAGGTTGATGACGGTACCAAACTTGCTGCAAGTTGTTCTAACAAAATTAATGCAGGTTGTTCGTAACAAGTTGCAACGAGCTTGTTGTCATCAACTTGTTACATGCAGACGATATCAGACACGTTGGAACAACTTGTTGCGAGTCTGTTGGCCTCATCAACCTTGTTACAAGATGATAACAACTTGTCCCAAAGTTGATGCTTGTGATGATACTCTGAGTGTATATCCACATCACAAGCATCTTATTCACCTGAGTATATTACTACACCAACACAGCAAATATCTTGTCCCAAAGTTGTCAACAACTTGGAACAAGCAGTGCGAACACATCTTGCTGACACGCTGCGACGTTCTTAAGTAATGGTTTTCAGTCATTCATTAAACTAACCTTGTTTCCATTAATATAAATCTGCGATCCATGAACGAGGACACAACAGTTAGAGCGTAGTGATACCGCAGTGGCCGGGAGGTTTAGTTTATCCAGGGAATGAGTAGCAAGCACACCAACTGCGAGTGATCCAGACCAGCTGGGGTTGAGAGAGTCGACACGAATCTACAAGGACAATGGTAAATGCTCGCAACGTTGTACAGTGTTGTACACAACCTTTTCCCTATACTCCTCCTTTCGTTGAAGGAAAGAAAAACACTACATCTTTTACACTGGACAGCTGTATCAATTCTAAATTCTTCTCACTAGAGGTCTAGTAAAGGTTATCCTTATTGATTGAATGTTATTGAGGAAATCTAAACAAACTTTATGTATCCTGGATAATTTAACATGCATTTCTGAACTGTTCTTCTTGGAAGTCCAGCAAGGGCCATCCTTTCTTTACATGTATGTATACTTGACAGGCATTAAATAATCAGTACCTGAAACATTTCTTTGTTGGCTAGTGGTTTACGACTAAACACCAATCCATCATTATAACGCGCCTTCCTTCGAGCAGTTGTACACAATGCATCCATAATTATGTTGAGACCACATTTTGAATGAAAGCTTAGGCTGAAAAGAAGACAGAAATTTAGATTTAGTACTGTCCTTCTGAGTTTTCAGTCTGGCCCGCAGTGTGTTGAAAGTTAGGAGCATCGGCTACTGTTGTTGTAATTTCCACAAAAACATCAGCCGCGTACTTACTCGGGTATTTCTGATTCAGGTTTCTGAGTTGGGTTACTCGTGGTTTCTTCATCCGAACTGATATAGTTATCAGATAGAACTAAAATAAAGTATACAAATGGTAAAAATACAACCCAACCTCATACCACATTACTTTCTATTAGAAATGTATGGTACAAGTGTGATTTTGTTTCCTAATTTACCGACCCTCAAGAAACATGGCGAAAAAACGATGTTTCCGGAAATGTGTTTCATCCCAGACATTAAAACTTACTTCGGTTTGTTGTGTTTACAATTGAGACAATCTGCGTACTTCCATAAACATCCACAACTCCAAAGACACCCTTAAAACATACAAGTTGTTAGAGATCAGAGTCATTCGACTCCACAGTCCATACGTACATTTAATACTGAGAACAAGCTATATTTAACCTGACTTTAGAAAACTTTACACACAAACCTCACCTGCGGTACATCAGATGCCGCAACTCCTTTATATTTACTGTCAACAAAGACATGCAGTGAACCATCATACTGGCGTTGGAGACCAATTCGAGATCCTTCCTGGTAATATATGAAGAGATGAAGGAGAGCTGGTCAGCAACATCATTGGATGAAGAGATCAGACGAACATGTGGAGTCTACTTGAGTGGTAGACATTGCAGAGTAGATGAAGGGAGCAAGGCTGAGATAGTATGGACACATAATATGACGAGATGAAGGAGAGCTGGTCAGCGACATTATGGGATGAAGAGATGAGACGAATATGTAGAGTGATAGACATTGCAGAGTAGATGAAGGGAGCAAGGCTGAGATAGTATGGACACATAATATGAAGAGATGAAGAAGAGCTGGTCAGCAACATTATGGGATAAAGAGATCAGAAGGACATGTGGTGGTGTACATTTCAGAGAAGGTAGATATGGTATGGACATGCAATAATAAAAAGAGATAAAAGGGAGACGGGAGGACTAGATCATAGGCAATAGCTAAAACAATCTGACGATTGCCACATACTTGAAGTCTATCCAAGAAAACACTACAACCCCGAACTTTCACGCCATCTTTGAAGACAGACGAGCCTGACAGGAATACAGTATTGTTTCTCAATTCGCCAACTTCCGCCGGGGCATGGGTAGGAGGTACATGTGACGTCACACCGATGGACAAAGATCCAGTCCACTTTGTGTCCATCTTGTCGATCCGGATTTCAAACACGGCCTCGTTCTCGAGCGGCTTGTCACTAAACACCAGTCCCCCGTTAAAGCTGCGCGCACGGACGGCGGTGTGACCATGGTTGCGGAAAGCGATGTTCTCTCCACTGCAGGGATGGAAGGTGTACTTTAAGTCTGAAATGAAATGAAATTGCATAATAATACCGGACCAATAAGGGATGACTACACGGGATTTTTAGGGAGATCACTTACGAACTGATACGGACAAACAAGAGATGGCCTTACTAGACATTTACGATGGGGTAGAACTGATAGAGCTAACCAGTTACTAACTATTTTAGCCAGTTAAACAGATTCTTACACACTTACACACCTAACATTGATTCATCGATGAGACTCTCTACCGAGGATGATCTACAAAGAGCGCCTGCTCTATCTTCTGATATTATGGAAACCTGAACACACTGGCCATACAAGTCGAAAGTCGCGAACACACCTGAAACAGAAAAAAACTACTAACAACTTTTCCTCCAGTAGCAACACTAAACCAATACGAGATAACATTTACTGGACCTCCAGGTAGAACAGACTGATGGAGTTATCCAGTTAAAATAAAGTTAGCTTCGTTTACCTGGTGGAACTAGAGAAGCAGCAGTTCCTTTATCTTCACCATTCAGGAACACGTGAAATGTTCCATCCGATTTCCTCATTACACCTACTTTAGTTCCCATTCCCACGCTGTCAAGATCCACGCCATATCCGTTGATAATCGTGTTCCCATCTTGCATCACGCTTGAACCGCTGACCACCCAGCAATGATGATTGAGGTCGGTTAGAGTGATCGGTAATTCCAAATCAGGCGGAGCAAGACTCAGTAATCCTACTTCGAGCGAACCTGACCATCTGAATTATAACAGGAGCAATAATTAGTGCCGAACCTCCAATATACGAAGGTACACAGGCACCAGTAGATATCCTATCAGTGTCGAGGTTTTTAGTTTATTATATTATTATGAAGGTGTTACACAACTGACACAATGAACCAAGTATGTGGAGGTGTGCTAATCATCCTTACTTGCAGCTGAGAGCTATACTGAATCACAAAAGATGCAGCTCAACCTGATCGAGTTGAAGGCTTTCTAAGGGCGCCTCTGGCAGCCACCTTATGACTCATGTCTGATCACGGAGTACAACTACGGTGGAAGCGTCATTTTGAGGGTTATCCCAAACCACCCAGTCAACATTTCCTGTGGGAGGAAACTGAAGTACCCAGAGAAAACCCACGATCTTCGGTAGAGAGTTGACTGACTCTTTCAAATAAATGTCATGAATCCGCAGCGAGAATCGAACCACGATCTCAGAGGCGAAAGGCGCTTGCTACGCTGACGTTCGCGCCACCGATATCCCTAAGTGTCAGATACATTCAACTTTACCCCACGTATTTAATATACCCCGACATAAACGGAGTCCTTCATAATGTTTAGGCAAGCACCGAAGCACGATATAACTTTCCGCTATTAGGTTTACCGTTGACTTTCTATCGAATGTTTTTCTAAGACTTAATCAAAGGTAACTGACAAACTACAAACCGAAGCCTGCAACTCGTGAAGCCTGCAACTCGTGAAGCCTGCAACTCGTGAAGCCTGCAACTCGTGAAGCCTGCAACTCGTGAAGCCTGTAACTCGTGAAGCCTGCAACTCGTGAAGCCTGCATCTCGTGAAGACTGCAACTCGTGAAGCCTGAAAACAAATGCATATACACACACATACATACAAACGCGGATGAAAACATAACGTCCTGGCGGAGGTAATAATGGCAAGTGTCTGTAATAAATGACACAAACCTGTCCGTAATTTGCTCAATCACGACTTCAAAGAGACGATCATCCTCCAGAGGCTGTTCACTTATGACAACTGCATGGTTAAACTCCGTCAGGGCGTTAAGTCTCGTAGCTCCTGTTCTATCATCATTCAAAACAATCAGCCTGCCATGTGTTTCGCCGAATTTCCCCACTCTTCTCGCAGCAGTCTGGTTATCAGTTCCTTCGGCAACCGGTTGCGCATCACGTGTGTTGTTATTGACTGGCGGTAAAGTTTCTAGAAAATATGGAATTTTAAAGTGCTCAGTTCACTAAAATTGGGATGGAAAAATAGCCAAACATGCAAGCACCGCTCACAGCCTACAGGAAATGTTAAATAGCTACAGGAAATTTGTTAGGTTGAATATTTGCAACTTGAAAATTCAAAGGAAATGCTTATTTGTGCACTCTGATATTTCCTCTATAGTTTAGCGTTAGACAAAGACGGGATGGCTCTTATTGGATCTCTAGTTAGTGAAAACAGTTCGGAACTGATAGAGCTATCCAACATAAATAAAGTTAGTTTAATGTTAATTTATTCTTATCACTTAGTACAGATTGTAGTCAGTAAGAATACTGACCATTGTTCGCAGTGTGGTCCAGGATGGTTGCTTGTACAGCCTGACCATAGATATCAACAACGCCATAGAAAGGACCAGACAGATCTTCCGAGGCAGCAGGTCCAAGGTCTACACCGTTGTAGTAGAAATGTAATGTCCCATCTGACTGCACACAGACGCCCAGTTTATCGCCAACCTTGATAAACAAGCAATGTTTTTAGAGACAGCTGCAGTGTGTGAGAAAGATGTAAGCAGAAATTAGACGTTTTGAGCGAAGGCCCTTTGTCGGAAAGATAGAAAGTTAGCAGTTTGGTTACTGACTTCCCAACAAAGGACCTTCGCTCGAAACGTCAGAGCTCAGATAGTTGCATCTCTACCACACAGCATGCAGTTGACTATAGTTGCTACCTACACTATTGTACTATACAGCAGTGTTAAAAACATGTCTGTCTTCACCACATTCGAAATCTGTTTGAAATTGTCGCAGGCAGTGTTTTCACTTATCAAAATCTCATTCCGAATATCCCTCTGAGTACAATACTTCAAGTACTACTTAAAACACAAGCAGCATGCAGTGTTTTATCAGATATAAAGATACGAGGCGAAGCCGAGCATCTCTATATAGGTCTGATAAAACACGAATGTTTTAAATTGCTTCAAAAACGATCGATCTAGTAAGTTCATTCGCGAAGTAATTTTCAAAAAATATGTTGTGTAAGTCAATGTTGTGTAAGTACACACTTATGATTTTTCTTTGTTTTCCTGTTTTTGAATTCTATTTCAAGCAGAGACATGAAAAACACTTTACATGTCATTGTGTGAAAAATCTGTTCACTTGAAATGGACCACTTTAACCTTTTCACACATCCTTTTATACTAAAATTACAGTGATTTATTACACTAATCTAATGCTAAGATAAACCTATTATCAACTAAATTTTATATGATACCTTATAAGATACAGCCATGTTTCTTCCATAAGCCTCAAGGATTGTTATTCCATTTTGAACGATGGCGCCTCCAGAAAACATCCACGTGCCAGATGTGACATTGGTCATGGTACCTGGGAGCGAAAATGTACCAGGGGCATGTGTGGTCACTCCTATCTCAAGTGACCCTGCCCATTTATCTATAACCTCCTCAATTTGGACTTCAAGACACTCATCAGCAGCCAGCGGTCGGGAGGTTAATGTTATGCCAAAGTTGAAATCTTCATTTGGACTAAAATAAGGGTAAAGTTTTAATACAATTATACATACAGAATAAACTAATATTACTTGTGTTATTTATTTATTTATTTTAATGTTACTGTAACACACTTACTTGGGTCTGAATACAGTTTTTCTGCTGTTTGCAAGTTTAACATGTGACCCGCATTGAGGATGGAAACATAGTACATTGTCATCAGTTAGTAAGGTGCCTTGATTAAGAATAAAATAGAAAGTAAGGAGAGAAAAGCAAGGCAAGAGCCTGTTATTGGAGATTTTATCTCTGTGTGGTCATTCCAGCCATTGTGTGTAATTTGTAGTTATTTTATATATTTAATAATGGCAAACTTGTAAAATAAAATAAAATAAAATAAGGAAGGCAAAAGAAGGAGGGAGGATAGGAAGAAAAAGGAAGGGAAGGGGGGGGGGGG